CAATGCTGGCTAACATTTATAAATATTCAGATGTGGTTCTGCGGTGTGAGGCGGTGGGTGAATGGGTGTTTGTGGGCGCGTACATACAGCAGTCAAAGTTGTTCCACTAAGTATTTAATCGGCAATAGCTTGACTGCAGCAGCAACAACGAATGCAGCAACAAAAATAATGCCCACACCAAAAGCAGATTTTTTTTTTTTTTTTGTGTTTGTGCATTATCTTAGCTTAAAAATTATGCAGTCCGTTCTGCTTTTAGCTCAGCGAAAAAGTCTACTTAGCGCATTCGTAATGTCCATTAAAACTTGCAGCTTCGTTGCCAAGTCGACAGAATTTCAAAAGTTTATTAGTACCTACATTTTTAGAAATCTTTCCTCCTTTTACTTATTGCAAATGGATGATAAAAAAATAAAATTGAAATACATTTTTAAATTGCGAGTAATGCAGTTTCTTCTGCAGTCGGGTAAGCAAGAAGTTAAGCAATGACTTTACTAACACTTGTATAAATATATTCACATATGGACACACGGGACAAAACTTAACTCTGATTTCTTTAAAATTCTATTTAATCTTCTGCTTAACTGGATGTGCTGATGTGTTGTCGGTCGCTGCGTTTAAAACTTAATCAACACAATTACTTGCTTGGGTAATCAAAATTTACCTTCGTTTGTCACAATTTAGACGAATTAAGTTTAGGACGATTTTTGTTAAATTTTTTATTTTCTTTCAAATTTAAATTTTTAGGGAAACCCTAAAATAGATTATCACTTTAGAGTGATCCAAAAAATGCATGTGAAAGAAGTAAAGTCTGAATTTTAGTGCTCTCACTCCCTAGGATTTTTCTGGATATAACAAGGCTAGGGGGTGAGAGCAATAAAATTCCGATTTTTTTTTGTTTAGAACACCCTAATGTACATATATACATATGTGGGAAGGACGGTGTCTTTTCTAATAAAAGATATTTATTTTCGTAAGGAATCGTTGATTTTCTAAACATAATTTTCTATAAGGGCGATACATCTAGTCAAGTGTTGTTTAATTTTTGGATCACCTCCTAATGATAGGAATCAGCAATTGAGCAATTATGCGAGTATACCTGTTTTTATTTTACCCCAAATACACTTTTTTAAATTTTTCGTTCAGTGTACTTACGCACATTAGGGCGGAGTAGTTTGTTCGGAACAAAATTTTCGGAGAAAGTGTATAGCAACTTCAAATTCTGCGATTAATTCTAAGCAGAAACAAACTTTATACCAAAGATGACGTTTGACGCTCCCAATTTTCAAAAGAAAAATATATTTATGAAGAAAACACAAAATTCTGTAAATGAAAAAAATGATTTCGTTGAGAAAAAATTATAGTACACAGATTTTTCTTTTAAAATTTTTTTGGTATTTAGTTTGTTCACAATTCTTGTTTAGAATCGAACGTAGAATTCAAAAAAGCCATACACTTTTTTCGAAATTAAATTATAATATATAATAAATATTAATGTACATACATACATAGATGTACGACAAAAAAACGACCACACAAATTTGTAACCATCCTTAAAATACGCAGATATAGTTGGATCTACTCCTCAATCATTACTTCTCTCCAAGATCACTTTTTTAATCTTGGAAAAAATGTAAAGGCGTTAAGTTTTACGCGCGCATTTTCGCGCAGAAGAAGAACTCCCTGAGTAATATTTTACTATTTCTTGTAAAGGAATTTTATGGGTTATACCAGTGGCGGATTTGCCCTAAGACCCGGGCCTAGGGCGGCAAGATGTTAAGGGGGACTGGTGGTAAAAAGACACGCACGACCCAAGTTAAATACGTGTAAACTCAAGATAGCGGCAGTAAAAACTACATATCGATGGCTGAGTGGAAGATCGACCTATCTCGGCAGCCAGTTCGAAAACGCCCATATCTCAAAAAACTTTCCAATAATGTCATATTTCAGAATTTCATTGAAAACACCCTATCTCAGAATTTGGTTGAATAACGCCCTATCTCAGCTGTCGATTCAAAAGCGCCCTATCTCAGCACATTTTCAATATATTTTCGTTTAAAATACGGCTTTCTTCAACCAAATTCGTCGTTTTGGCCAGGGTTGTCATCGGAAATTTCCCTGATCCGCATTAAATTTTGAGAATTACCTGCAGGACTTTTTCCGGATTAACTGAAGTTAATTCTGAATTAACGAGTTGGTCGAGATAAATGTTGCTCTCTTTCTATGCTTTAGCCCCGCTTTGATAACTTAACTGAAAGCTGCTGAGAAGATATGCATACACATTTGTGAGACGTTTCAATTTCGCGATATGGGCAATGAAATTTCATTTTGCTGAAACGGGTTCTTAAAATATTTATTTAACTTTTATATGTATTTGCCTTAGACTTTTCCCTTAATTAAAAAGGAACAAAACAACCAATATGTTTCCAGAAAGAGAGCGCGAAACTTTAAAAGGCAGACGTATGTAGATTATCAAAGCAGGGTTAAGTATGTTGGGCTGCCATCAGATTTGTAATAAGCCAATTGCCATTACAAATACTACATTTTGACATATTTAAGTGGAAGAACAGTCAAAAGCAATCCTTTCGTTCGTATCAACGACAATGTTTAAAACAGCCAAGGATGGCAGAACTCCATATGCAAGTGCAAACATTTTTTCAGCGCTGGGCATGCTTGGAATAAAACGACAAATGTTAGCAGCAGAGTTGGTAAAAAGGTACAGTTTTCCATTTTGGCGATTTTTGTTAAAATATTTTGTAATGATTGCAGTATCTTCAACTATGTATATTGTAAATATCAATATCTTATAAAAAGAAATGTAAATTTTTTTTATCTAAAACTAATAAAGTTAGAAGGACGAAATTCGAGCATGTGGTAGTTTACATATTAGTCCTTGACATATATTTTTTATCAAAAATAAATATTGGAAATTTCCAAGTATATTCAACGATAATGTTTTAAAAGGACATTTTCAACGTCTTGGTGCACGAAAAAGTATTTTTTTTTTTTTAATTCTACACAATTTTTTCTTTTAATTGGTACCCATATTGTTACTCTACACGGCACCAAATCTTTTAAATTATTATACCTTAAATGAGCATAAAATAGTATAATAACTTTGGTCCGGTTCTAGGTGGGTGTATTTTTTTAATGTATTAATCATTTGTCGGAACCGGAAGAATCGGACCACTATAACATATAGCTCCCATACAACTGATTGTTCAGATATAAGAATTTTCGTTATAACTGCTCCATTTAAGTAGCTAGGAACATGAAATTTTGTCAAGAGAATTTTTTCAGTGAAAATGGCGAAGATCGGGTAGCTATAACCTATAGCCTCAATATAACTGATTGTTCAGATATGAGATTTTTTGCCATAACTTCTTCATTTATGCAGCTAAGAACTTGAAAATTCGCACCGTTTTCACTCATTATTATCAAAATACTTAGAGTGAAAATAACAAAGATCAGGTCACTATTACATATAGCTCCCATACAACTGATTGTTCAGTTATGAGAATTTTCGTTATAACTCCTCCATTTATGCAGCTAGGAACATGAAATTTTGCAATACTTCTACCTATTAACACCAGAATATTTACAGTGAAAATAACAAAGATCGGGTCACTTTTACATATAGCCTCCATACAACTCATTGTTCAGATTCGAGATTCTTTGTTATAACTTCTCCATATATGCAGCTAGAAACATGAAATTTCGAACTATTTTCACTCGTTATCAACAGAAAGTCTACATTAAAATTAACAAAGATCGGGTCACTATAACCTATTCATTGCCCCCATACAACTGATTGTTCAGATATGGGGTTTTACTGTAAAACTCCTTTATTTGAACAGCTAAAACCGATAAATTTCGTAAGCTATTTTATAAATAATAATACAAAGTCTACTGAGAAAATCATCAAAATCTATGCTGTATAAGCTTTATCTCCTATAGCACTGATTGTTCAGATACCAGTCTTTGCGATATATCTCCTTTATGTAGGAAGCTAAACCCACTAACTTGTGTTACCGGTTTACATACGGATCCAACAGGAAAAGTGAAAATCACTGAGATTTGTGCTATATAAGGTATATCTTCCATACCTCTGATTGTTTAGATGCGATTTTTTATATAAGTATGTAACTCCTCTATCGATGTATGCAGATGTATTCAAAAGCAGTAATCTGGCAAAGTAAGATTTTCAGATGCTCATGAAAGGTATGAATGCTTCGGCCGAAGACAGCGCTGCTCTTACTTGTTTTTTTTTTTTATTCAATCTTATCATAGAAATTTCAAAGTCCTTTAAAAACAAAGCCTGACGTCAGATAGAAAAATTAAAAACGCAGCTATACTACATTTAGCTCCTAGTTTTGTGAATATATTGATTTTTTCGCGTGTTTTAAAAATGTTTGGTTTTTGTCGCACCGTGTTATCAGACTAAAATTTAAAGAAAAAAGCATGATAAAAACATAGCCAGGTAGAACCGTTCTCTCAATTTGTCGGCCATGATTTTTTTTTTGAAGTTTGCCAACATTTTAAAATTATATAAAAGTGAAAATAGAAAATTGAAATTGTTCGAAATTGTTGTTGCTTGAGATTGAAAATGAAAATGTGTGTGTGAGTTTGTGAGTAAATTTAAAAATTAAATTGTTTGGAAACGTCAGGAATTGTAAAAAGGACTCTCAGCGGTTCTACCTTACTATATTTTTATCATGGAAAAAAGTATAAAATTTGGGCGAAAATTTGTTAAACTTTTTTATGGCTTACAAAAAATTTTAAATTTGTGTTTTCATGGGTTTTATTAGAGATCGAGATATTAGAGATATTTTAATTTAGAGTTCTTAAAAATAGATAACTAAAAATATAAGTTGCAAACAATATCTCGGATCTAAAATGAAGAAACAAGTCTTCAACATATTACTAAAAAACTTTGAGTTTTTATTTTTTTACTTTTTTTTTGTATTCTTAAAATTTTACGTCACAGAAGTCAACAAAACACTTACTTTTTAAAATTTAATTAATCCGAAATTTGATTAGATTGCGCTGTTGCTTGTTGATATGTTCCACAAATAAATGCAAAACGGCACAGTGTGCGTAATTCCTTTTTTTTAATTTCTTGATATCAATTCAAATTGGTTTGTATTTTTAACTAGCTCTCGACAGTCACCTCACTAATAATACGCGGGAAAAAATAAAATAATTAAAACACAAGTAAATTACTATCAACACTTTAAGAGATTCATTGGCATTGCTTGGCGTCTGTGTTTGATTAAAAATTTTGTATTCTCCTTTAATTGAATACATTTAGTAGTATGTGTTTTAATCAATGCCGAAAACACGCACAACGTACACGAATTGGTAGATATTTCACATACGCGCACGGGTACATACACCACACACACACACACACACACACGTGGCCGCGTTGGCAATTGCATGCGGCACGTAAACTCAAGCTGGTTGAGGAAATGCAAATTAAAACCAACACAGCCTGCAAGCTGCAGCCAAAACCGAGGCCAGAGGCGGCAGCCAAAAGCCGAAAGCCAAAAGCTGCGATTCTCAACGGCAAATGCGAAGCGATGGAGTTAACTTCAACATCAACACTTGCTTTTATTTTTTTTTTTATGCTGCTGCATCTTTCGCCGCTGTTTGTCCAAGGGGCTAATGAACTGCTGCTCTGCTTGTCGTTGCTGTTGTTATTTTTGCTTTTTCTTTTTTTGCGAAACAAATGCCGTTTGATTGGCAAGATTGTCAGCGACAATTCTGGATTTTTATTTTCACTAAGAACTTACTTCTCACGCATGGTAAACCATTTGCTGCCCGAATGTCGGGGGGCATACCGCTTGCAGCTTACCCCGGGACATAGCCAACATCTACATATATACTTAATGTAACATTATGGTCAATACATTTTCGTTTTCGCGTTCATTACGACGCTTACACTGCATACAAAGTGTTGTAAGAAAAAGTGGTACGAAGTTGTTATGCGGCAAAAGGCTGCACGCCAAAAAGTATGCAATGAAATTTACTCTCGCGGCAAATTAAAGCGAAACGGTAAATTTTTTGAGTTGTTCACACGCAAATTAATACCAAACAGCAACAGCGACAACAACAACAACAACAACAACAGAAACTACAAACGGCAGCAGCAACAATTATGCCAGCGATAAATTGAGCAGCGACGATGGTAGCAATCAACCGTAACGCACGAATGCAATTGCCAGTCGGTGATTCGCCTGTGATTGTAAGCGTGGTTTTGCAGCAAGTTTTTGTGCTATTTTTCTTATTTCTTTTTTCTTTTTGGTTTGTTAACTTGTAAGCAACCTTCTTTGGAATGCCCTAGAAGTGTTTTTATTCGTTTGCTTGGTCTTTGTTTTTGCTTTTGGATTTCGCGGCTTGTCTGCTTTTTTCCAAAATTCGCTTACTATTTCGTGCATTTCATTCGCGTTAAGTTAGCTTTTGAATTTCGAACGAAACACGGCACTGCTCGACTAGATTTCAGCTGCAAGTCACGCACGCTGCAATGTTACTGCCAGCAAACCAGTTGGGTGGTCGAAGTAAGGGCATTTGCACTCATTTATTTATTTTTTCTCTTATTGTACATATATATATTTTTTTAACAATGAAGCAATTTTTACTTATATAATTTTACTTTGCAATGAGTGTTTTATAAAAACCGCAGCTTTACCGCCTCGCACCGCTCACCACACGTTTATTATTAATCAGCCGTATAGACAGACCATCGTCTACCAAAGCACCAAATCGACCGCGTCAACGCGTTCAAACGCGACATAAACGTTTGCTTACGTAGAGAGCAAAAATCCAACTGAATATGCCAACTTGCGGCCGCACATCGGCATGAAAATACGAGCTCATGCATTGGACCTACGCGAAAGGATGCCAAAGTGCCGATGATACCTCGAACGAAGTCTACGTCATCTACATACATATACGCCCAATCGGTCTGTGGTGAGTATGTTAAAACGGTGTCAGCCGAATTTGAAACCATCACCACCCCTCACCCGCTCCGAACGGGTTTTCTTAGATGAGGTCCTGTGCGAAATCACTGCGCTAAGCCACTCGGCTGAGGTAAAAGCGGCTGCTCGCAGAGTTGCGATTAAATTTAACGTTGAAGGTAGTGGTGAAAATCTACATTTCTCTTGCACAATGTGCTCGTGAGAGCTGTTGAGAGCGTGACAGCGTGAAACTCGATTGAGCAGAGACCACAGCATGCAGGATTGGAGTATGTCTGTATGAAATGTGTGCGAGCGGTGGGCTTAGAACGTAAATTTGTTGGGCATTTGATGTTTCAACCGGCTTTTTGCAGCTTCTGAACTGTCAGTTTTGTATCAAGGTACCCCAAGAGCAAGAGGGATAGTGCGCGTCCTAACATTATCCAACAAGTGGTTGTTTGCTTTGTTTAGTATTTGGTGGAGAGTAGCAAATTTCTGCGCTGGTTTGACTCCTGCAGTATGTTTTACTTCTTCTTCTTTTTTTTACGAAAAATACCATCATGGCGAACTAAATTTTTTTGAAAACCAATTCACCGGTTAGACTAAGTCTCTCCTGTTCCTACCTTAATATTGCAAAGTCTAGCTTATGAATAAGATTTTCATATGAAATTAAGGGTTATTGTTGGGAATAAAGCTGAAGCTCATAGCAGGTTTGCAGGCGTTGCGGCTTTCGAAGTCGTACAGTATTTTATTTTATTTAAAACACCCTCTTAACAAAAACAGAAGAAGGAATTTTTTAACAATTGATGTAGAATAACTCGTTATATCATTCTTCTAATGGCGTACAAAGTTCGTGCTATAATTTTGTGTATTTCCTCATAAGAAGACAATACGCAGCTCTTTTTCATTAAATTCTATATAACAGTTATTTAAAAAGTATAATAAATATATGTAAATAGTATTGTATAGTATATTAATAGTAGTAAAGTAAATAATAAATGAGTATTTAAATTAGGATGGTAAAAAAGTAAACCCGGAGTTTTACGGCTCCCACCCCCTATGGTTTTTTTATACCGAAGTATATCCTTGTTTTTTGTTTTTTAATTTTGTCATCAAAAAATATTTCGTAGTCGCTTAAAGAGCTCAAAGTTTTCCATGTATTTTATAAGGGAAGAAACAATTTTTTTCGTTAAAATGGATAGAATTCTTGGAAATAAATATCTTTCGATCCGAAAACTTTTTTTCCTCTTCAGAAGACTTTCAGTAATAATACCCAATTATTTTTTTTAGCCATTTTTGATGCAAAATAATTTTTATTGGGCCCCATAAAAATTGTATTAAAAAAAGGTTAAATAAACAATTGGGAATTGTTATTGGAAGTCTCCTGAAGAGGAGCAAAGTTTTCTGATCGTAAAATATTCATTTTGAAGAATTCTATACCACATCTACGAAAATTAGTTTTTTCCCATACAAAATGCATGAGGAATTATGAGCGCTTTGAGCGACCACTAAATATTTTTTGATTTCAAAATAAAATAAAATAGGGATAGAATTTTTTCGGTATATACAAATCCTAGGGGTTGAGGGCATTACAATTCCGGCTTTACTCATTCACATGTATCTTTGAACAACCCTAATGTTTATACAAATATGATACCCACATATATTAAGCTATTTCAGAAGAGTTGTGAAGCTGAAAACAAAGCTCTTTGGGATTTTGGTGAGGTTGTTATTTATTTTTCAGCAGGATAACCATGCTGGGAACGAAAATTCAAAATAATTTATTGATAATCAAATTTTCGATAAATAAAGACATATTATATTGATGCTACATACTTTTTTTTTTTATAAATTCCTTTTTATTTAACATTTTTTGGAGAGGTCGATATCACCATAAATGCTCTTTTCCCTTTTGCAAACTCTTCGTAATATTTTTATTTTATTACAACAAAAATCAAACACATTAATTCCTTGTTTTTTGGTTTGCTTTTCATTTTTACTTCCAAACAACCTTAATGTTTTTAATGTCGAAAAAACTTAAACGTAAATATGCGTACTGTTTCCTATAAACTCGGCAAGCAGGGCTCGCAGAAATTACACATTCAAATCGTTCGTGCCGATAAAACTTTGCCACTGAACCATTGCAGCCAATTAAATTGTTGCGTTTGACAAGCTTAAATATTTTCGGTGAGAAGAAAATCGCAACTAATTTGAATTTTGTTGCTGTATGTCATCACTATAGAAAGCTCTAAATCCAGGCGAATTTATACAAGGTGGTGTTGTAAAATCAGTTGATTTCTTCGCCTTAAACGTATTTTGTTTTTGCTTTTACTGAATTGACAGCACACCCATCAAAAGCAGAACAAAATACATGTAAACTTTGGGGCGAATTGAGATTTGACATAACACCCGAGATACAAAGTACATGTGGTTGTTATCGTTGTAATCTAGGTTCGCCAGTAACACCGGCTTGTATAAATTCGCCTTGGTGAGGGCGGCAGCACAAAAACTAAACCAAAAAATTACAAGCGCGATGACAAAGCAGAACAAGAAAAATATACAATAAACACATCATTTTGACAATCAGCACAATTCGCCTAGAAATCAGCTGATCCCGTAACACCATGTTATATGAATTCGCCTTGCTCTAAGAGGCAATTTATTTATTTTTTTTTGGTAAATCCAAGGCATATTAAACAGGTAGTTGCATTTAACCGAGTTTTTCAATTAGCAAAACTTTGGTTAAATTCGACAGTTTCCTATTAAACAAACTTCTATTAAACCACCAGAATTAAGCTATTCGAATATTGTCTCCTTAATTTCACAACTCGAACAAAGTCAGCTCGCTCGAAAAATTCTATGAAATCAGCTGATCATTTATTTACGTGAGCCGGCTTTTTATAATTTACTTATGTTAAATACTCAGTTGAGTTAAGCTGCCTTTACACGGGTCGGTTTTCTAGTACATTTTTGTCGTTCAACCAAAATCGATCAGTGGAGATGTAAAGCTGCCTCTAACGGATCGATTTCTATCGACTGGAAAATCGACTCAGAAATCGACTAGCCAAAACACATAAATTTTACGGTTGAATTGTCATTTACACTGGTCGATTTTGGTTGAGCGACAAAAATCGACTAGAAAACCGACCCGTGTAAAGCAACTAAAGTGGTTAGGGTGGTCGATTTTTCAGTCGATTTCTCTGTCGACAGAAATAGACCCGTGTAAAGGCAGCTTTGAGTAAAGCATTTAAACTGATCTAAAATAGCGTATTTGTTTGGAAACTCGGGACATGGATGTTGGTTCATTAAACCGATTTTTTTTTTTTTTTTCATTTAGCAGAAGTTTCAAATAACCGTTAGAATTTGTATGAAAATGCTAAAATAAAATAGGTACCAGATATTCCGTGCCAATTAAGCGGAGTATTCAGTTAACAGGATTGCAACTAATCGGTTACGACTGTATGTGCTGATGTACATAAGTGTGTACTTAGAGTTGCTAATTTTTTCAGCCTGTCATTTGCAAAACTACCATGCAATTAATAAACTTTAGCTAAACGATTACATTTTAACTACATGATGGCATAAGTGCTCGTGAAGTGGAAGCTTCTATTAAATTCAAAAATAATTATGTAGGGTTTCTACTACAGATGACTTTTTACTGGCTAAAATTTTACAAATTTAACAACACTTGTCCACTAAAATATTGGCAATGCAGCTAATGTTAAGTAGGCTTAAAAAGTCCACAAAATACTAAATTTACGTAGGTATGTATGTATGTAAAAATTTTTGTATTGCATCTATAGTATAGATTCTATACTTATCAACCACTTCATTGCATTCAAAAATTGCATCCAGTCCAGAGTTGGTTAACTCGGTCAATTACTTATATTCCAATTTGAATGCGAATGTGTAATTGCATATTTAACCTGACATGTATGTATGTATTTATGCACTTGTGTATGTATGTCGCATATTTATTTTCCTGTTCCAAATGCGCCCAGTTGTAATAGTACTTATGGCATTCATATAAGCGCAACTACATACATATGTATGTATGGATCTTCTTACTTCTTTACCAAACCTTTTTAGTGTGAGCGCCTCAAGCGTCTATGACTTTCTACAGTTAGTCTTTTCAGTGCTTTAGCTGAATGTAGAAAATCGAAATTGGCGCTGTAAGTAAACATTGCATTTGTGCAATCGAAGCGAACTTACCAGAATGCTAGTTATGATGTTTTGCTTTTGTGCTTTGTGAAATGATTGTTGTCCTCCATGCACTATGTATATCCATTGCAGTTTCGCTGGCATTGCGTGCACTCTCTATTATAGTATCGTAGTTGTATAACTGTTGTTTGATCATGTCCGCTTGCTTTTGAAGTCACTTTGATATCTTTTGTTTGCATCGTTCATTTATGGAAGCTGCGTTGCACTATTCAGCCCTTTTGCGAGGAAGAAAGGACACTTATCTCGGTTGCTCGAAACAGAAGGAAGCGTGGGCATTGATGAGAATTTTGATTGTCTATTGCAAAACGGGCAGCAGTTCTTGATAGGAGCAAGCAAGTCATGTACAGAAATTTGTTAGAATTAGTAGTTATGGAAAATTGGTTTTCAATGTTGGAGTACCAGTTCAAAGAGTTAGTAAAGATCGAAAATTTCCAGCTTTTTTGTCCTAT